TATTTTAATACAAATTTATTTACATATAGATGATGAAAAATTTCTAAATAATATTTCATCAAGTCAATCTCTCAATGTTGTCGTTATGCTGCTTGCTGATTCCAATACTACTGCTACCTTGCATGTTGATTCTAGTACTGTTACTACTCCACTTGCTGATATTACTGGGCATGAAATTTTGCACCAATCAGCTTACCAAAATCTGGAAGAGTATGTTGAAAAAATGGCAAACCAGATGTCCAAAAGCAAAAAGCGTATATTGGATTATGTAATTGGTGATTTGGTAAGAGTTGTGATTCCCAAAATTGACCGGTTTAGCATTGACCGACCAACTCTTCCATGTAAAATATTAGCTAAAACTGAAAATGATCAGTATCAGTTGGGATCAAAATTTGGCATCATTGATGTTTATTATTGTGCTGGCGAACTTGAACCTTTGGGTGTTACTGACTTTTCTGAGCTTAATAGTATACCAACTAACAAAATATCACTTAGAGAAGCAGCACATCTTCAAAGTACAGGTCCATCCTCTGCGATTTATTACTGCAAAGGTGAATGTGATTCTAAAAGATGCCGTTGTAAAAAAAATGGTAGTCAATGTGGTAGTCGATGTCATAGTGGGCGGTCATGTTAAAACAAATCTTAGTATAATATATATTTTATAGTTCTCTAGTTTATGAATAAAGCTTTATTATTTTAAATAAAGAAAAAATTTAAAATATTTGTATATTACACAGTGATATAATAATTGCATCAAATGACAGTCGACGCATCTCAGGTATCGATTAACTATCTGAGGCACCTCACCTGACGATCGATATCTGAGGTATGTCGGCTGTCAGCTGAGGCCTACGTTATTCTGAGGCACAACATATATATTACAAAATATATGTATAATAAATATGCATTTTCATTTTATTACAAAAATAGTGCAATCTATTATTATTTATTAATAAGAATTTTCTAGTAAAATTAAATTAAAATTGAAATTTACATTAGTATTTCAAATTTATGATTCGAAAAAATTTCTAAGCTTTTAATTTAATCAAGCGTGGAATCAGATTACATTCAAATTGGAATTTATCAATTAATCAGATTTTACAAAATGAATATTCAATTTCGGATAGCTTTTTATCAGTAGTCACTTGAGTGCAAATTTTTTTTTCTATAAATATAACAGTTGTTCATAGCAGAGTAAAAATGGAGCGTTTGGATTAAGATCAGGATCAAGATCTAGAGAGATCAAAATCAAAATAATGATCAATAAAACCTACTATAAAACGACTTCAAATTTGTGATACCATTGTTTTCCTTTTATATGTATTTTTTAGCTAAAAATGCTAAATATTTTAACCAAAAAAATCCAATTCTTGATTAAAAATGATTAAAATGATTAAACGTGCAACGCAAAATTTGAAAGTGTATACTGCCGGTAAACCCATTCAAGGTAGGTGATCGACATAGCCGTTTATTCGTTACTGCGCCACACCGATCACCTGCTTTAATGAGCTTCCGGCACCACCACCCTACCGCTCACAATAGTAAATTTTGGCTTAGGCAACATTTCGATTTAACGTTACACGAAGAGTGCACCTGGTCTTGCGATCTGCCTAGGAAATTTCCTTTTTTGGATTTGTATCACTTGCAGAAATGTGTACGCCATAAAGGTAACACCATCCGACCGATTCTAGTTTTAGGCCAGAGATTTTATAAGCTAGGCATCACCAGCCAGATTCTTGGAATTTTAAAACTTATTAACTTTATTTATGTGTTGAGTTCTAAAAAGAAATCGAAATTTTAATTAATTATAAACATTATTATTAATTATAAATAATATTCTTAAGTCATTAATTAATTGCGGTATATATTACTGTGCCTGCTATTTTTCGTTAAATCTTACAAATTCTAGTTTTTATAATAAAAAGAAGCATTATAATTCAGCTATTTTTTTCATCATCTCATTATAGTTTTTGTAAATATGGGAAACCCTCCAAAATTATTAAACATCGCTAAAAATTTAAATACATCTTTACTAAAATAACTCCAAATGTAAGTTAATTTTGATAGCCCAGGAACCTCAGATCTCAGACCTCAGAATAACTCATCTTTCTTTAAATGTTCACAATATTCACAGATAATTGTTAGAAACAAGAATTATTTAAACGTGAAGGTTGGGAAACTCCAAAGCAATCAAATGGCGAAATTTTCTAATGAACAAAAAATTTTTGGAAAATTCTCTCAAAATAAGCATTTACTATATAAATTACTTCATAAATAATACTCCGTTGTTTGAACATCCTAATAATGATTTTATTAGGGCAAAAAAATTGATTGATGAAATAGAATTGGTGTCATTTTGCAGGAAATTAAGGAGAAATTTGGCGATGACAAGTTATAAAAACTTTGCATGAGTAAAGTGGAAGGAATTAAATTATTAAAAGTTGGATGTCTCAACTTATATTAGCATATCTATTTAAACGCCTTTAATATATCAGCCAAATTAGATGTGTTACAAAGTGTATGCGATACATATAATTGTGTTACGCAATACAATACCTCAATAAATATGATTAAGTTCATATGTAACATGTTCCTTCATTGTGTCAAAATGTCAATTGCAAAATTACCAGATAAAATCGACAATCTTAACCAACTGAACTTAGAAGATAAGTCGCAGGATCTTCTTAATGAAATTATTAAAGAAATATATAATTTATATAATGAAGAAAAATTAAAAGGCAAAAGAGACAGTTCAATTCTTGACTCCTTAGGACAATTTCTAGTAGTAAAAAAGCAAAATCCGGATAATATTATCAAGTATTGCTTAGACAATCAATCTAATCATATAGCTCGAACAATTCTTGCAATTTGTCATAAGTGTGGTAAATGGGTTGAAAAGAATGAACGTAAGGCATTTATTTATTATCAAGAGTCTGCAGATATGGGGGACTCTGGTGGAATGAATAGTGTTGGACATTGTTATCGAAATGGAATTGGTGTTGAAAAGGATGAACATAAGGCATTTATTTATTATAAAAAATCTGCGGAGATGGGAGACACTATTGGAACAAATAGTGTTGGTTATTGTTATCGTCATGGAGTTGGGATTAAAATGAATGAACATAAGGCATTCATTTATTATCAAAAATCTGCAGAGATAGGTGACGCTAATGCGATACATAATGTTGGATATTGTTATGAAAAAGGAATCGGAATTAAAAAGGATGAAAAAAAGGCTTATGAATATTATTTAAAAAGTGCCGAAAATGGATTTTGTTGTGGAATGTTTGGCGTTGGTCGATGTTATCAGAAAGGGATCGGTGTAGAAAAGAATAAAGATTTGGCATTTGAGTGGTATTTAAAATCAGCTGTTACTGAACATGGATGTAATGTTAATAAATATTTCCGGTGGATAAAATATGATAAGTTTAGAAATATCGAAGAAGTAGGTAGAGGTGCATTTTCCGTAGTGTATAAAACATCATATGAAAAATATGAAGAAGTTGCAATCAAAATAATAAAAGATTCGCACAAAAATCAAAAGCATTTTTTAAACGAGGTATTTTATTTTTTTCTTACGCGTAAATTTATGGTTTATAAATTAATCGTATATAACTTTTTATTTTTTCAGTTAAAAGCATATCACGAATTTGATAAATACAAAGGCATATCAATGGATAAAAATACTGGAGATTTTATTTTAGTGTTAAATTACGCAAGCTTTGGGTCATTACGCGAAAATCTTGAGAAGATATTTAAATTGGAGTGGAAAATTAAGCTAAAAATTTTGTACAATATCGCTAAAGATTTATCAAAAATTCATACTAAAAAATTTTTACATCGAAATTTGCATTCTGGTAATATTTTACTAAAAAAACGATATAAAGCTTATATTGATTTAGGTTCATCAATATCAGTTGATGAAGAACAAGGTCGTATTTATGGTGTTTTGCCATATTTAGCACCTGAGGTCTTGAAAGGAGGTCATTTCACTCAAGCTGCGGATATTTACAGTTTTGGGATTATTATGATAGAAATATTAACTGGACAAAGACCTTTCGATGGTTACAATTTTGATGCTGAATTATCGGCGATGATTTGTCATGGATTACGACCTGAATTTAATATAAGGACACCAAAATGTTATGTTAAATTAGCCAAACAATGTATTAATTCAGATATGAAAAAAAGACCTACAGCTGTTGAGATTATTAATAAACTTGAAGAATGGAAAAATACTATAGTCGCTAACGATAGTAATGTTAAATCAGATATGAAAAAAAGATCTAAGGCTGTTGGAATTTTTAATAAACTTAAAAAATGGAAAAAGTTTATAGTCGTCAATAATAGTAACGACAAATTAGAAAAACAATGTATTGATTCAGATGAAGAGATCAAACAGCAATTTTTAGAAGCTGATAAATCAATCAAAGAATTGCCAACTACTTCACAAATACATGATAATATTATGTATGCTTCTAAACTTATCAATACGAGAGAAATCGTTTCAGAGTTTGAAAATTTTAAGATTGATCAATAGTTTAAACCGAGTGAAGAGATCCGTATTGGTGATATTGATAGCAATTTCTTTTTCAATAATTTTATAAATAACAAGATTAAATAACATATTGTATATTAAGAATACAGAAAATTCTTTCTATAGTTACCTTCTATATAGCTACAAATTCAATATAAATCTTTTTTTATTTTTACCAATTTTTTATATTATTTATATCTTAATATAAGTATAGTACTATTATATTTTTTTATAGACCAAGTACATAATATATATAAAATTACTTTTTATATAATCATATTACTAATATGAATATTTTAAAAATATTTAAAATAATATCTTTTATTTTTTAAAAAATGTCTATTTAATTAAATAATAATTATAATTATATAATAAACTTAAATTTTTTAAGTAAAATAATTTAGTATTTTATATAAATTTGTTTAGAAGAAATTTATACTTTAAAATTCTTATAAAATAAAAAATACTTATATTTATTTTATATATCATGCTTTGGATTAATTAGGCATCACACGTAAAAAAAGCAACTCTCTCCGTAGATCACTTATACCAAAACTACAAAAAAACATTTGATTATTTCTCAACATTCTACTAAGTA